AAATATATGAAAAATTGATGTGGGTATTCAAATGAAAGGTCTTGATGAGTATAACATCGGGATGAGCTTATATCTTTAAAAACATCAATAGTTCAAAAGATACAAGGTCATTTCTTAATTAGGTATTTAGAGATAAAGCATTTTCGAATGCAGCCTAAATACTTATCATCATAAGTTGATTATTACTGAGAATGATATGAATTGGCTACAATATTTTGCTTATTCTCTTAATAATATAGATAATAATAATAATCCTGTAACGAACGAGCATGATTAAAAGCAAAAAGCAACAAACAATTTCCAGCGAAAGTAAATTGAAAGTTACCTTGGCAATGACAGAGCAAGAAGACTACAGAAGCTGGCGATCGGATAAAGCCACAGTATCACAAAGCAGTTCTTCTTGTAGGCCCAGGTCTCTACCTGAAGAAAGACTCGGTAGGAGGCGTGTGACGCTAATGAGATCGTCGCCATTGTCAGGATCGACCCGATGCTGATGAACACAGTGCCAAATGCTCCCAGTCCTGCAAAAAATGCCCATTCTTAAAAATCCGCACCAGCTGGCTGATAATGACGGCAAGGATTGCTCCTTTCAGTTTATTTTTCTGCGAATCGTGTTAAGGAAAACATAATGATAATGGGCCACAGGTTTCAACACGTAATCGCCGAGAGAGTGAAACTTTCACTGAGCAGCTATACACGTTATACTAAGCATGATTATTTTTAAACAAATATTCTTTCAGATTATCAGTAATTGATCAATTTTGCATAATTATCAATAAATATTCCATTAAAGTCAGACTTACGTTCTAGGTACTCTGATGAGGGCGAAATGATATTTTGGTCACAAGAAAGGTTCCAAAAATCGTAAGTCGGGCTGTCTTCAGGCACGCTCAAATATTCGTCCATTTTCACTCAGAAAAATTGTAAATTTCACTCAGAAAAATTGAAAATAAAAGTTTTATTTGATTTAAAGCAACTACTTGCTCTCAGGTTGGACACCAACAGACCAGCGGTGAGTTGCCTGAGTGAGAGTTTCTGCCCCACTCGCTTTCTGTTACATAAACAGTATTTGTTTTCATGACTTTGATTTTCAAATCGGGCATAAATCAGTTGGCAAATAAATTAAAATTAATCTCTCATAATATTACAACTCATATCTAATCTCATTATTTGAAAAGAAAAATTGTTATCATGACTGCGCTTTTTCCGGAGAAATTTAAAAATAACGAGCAGAGCGATTTCTGCATTTTCGACCGCCAGTTGTTACCGTCAGGCGTTTAGCTCAAAAAAGAATTTTTTTTCGACGGATGGAAAAATAACCTACCAAAAATAAGAGATGGATGTTGACTTGTTGATAGCCGATGGAAGTAAAAGTCCCGCTGGGAAAAGAAATCAAATTACAGTACAATAAATCAGCGATCTTGAAGGTCAATCTTCTGACCCGATTTCCTCGATGGCTTCTAACTTTCTTTAGATTGCCTAAAAAATGCCCGCGACATTGAAAGCAGAAAGTGAACTTGAAGGAGATTCTATGGAGACTTTATTTGATCTAGGGCTGGATGATCTTTCATCAAATGGATATATCAACGGTGAGGGTATATATAAATGGAATACCCGAGTTGGGACCTTGCAGAGGGAGAATCACGACTTGGTAAGATAGAGAGAGTTTGAAAGTAGGCCTCAGTCGTTCAGTCAGTTGGTGACTACTTCTCCAGACGATTGGACAGAGCTATGGTGAGTCATTTGAACCAATAACTATCAATTTAACAAACTTAATCAATAACTAATAAAATTTTTCTGATTATCAATCAGAAATTCAAAAATTCAATCCTCCGAATTGTAATGGTCAATAAAATTCTAATTAATTCTTTCTAGAATTGCCAAAAAATTTAAAATTCAAATTCCTGATGAATTAATTAAATATCAAGCTTCTAATAAATGAATTCGCTTATTCAAATGAATTAAAAATACAAAAAGCAATCAAGCAAATCGTTATTAGTGTGTTAAGTGCGTGCGTGACAATCTCGGACTTTCTCGGTTGGTCACGCTAGTCAAGGACCTCTCGGTCGGTGTTCACTCACCTCTGCATGACTACTTGTTACGTGTGTTTGCTTATAATTTATAAATAATAACATGCTATATAAACTTATTGCAAAACGCGGTCAGATCTTCAGAACAAGAATTTTAGACCACGTTTCGGGTCAGAAATTTTTCCGGCCGTTATAAAATTAATTAATGTTCCAGATATTATTAATTTTGGTGACCATTATTGGTCTGGGAAGGTGCCTGGAGCAGGTTCCTTCCAAGCTTGAGATCGAATCTTCGATCAACAGGACGATCGAAGAGGTAGAGCGGATGATAGACCGGGACGAAAAGCTGCCTAAATTGTCAAGGGAGCAGATTGTGGACATTCTGTTCAACATCACGAGCCAGGACATTGATTCGATGGAGGAATCGGTGAGACAAGCGCGGTCTGATTATCAGCGAGCGTTGCTGGTGGTCTTGCCGTACAATTCAAAGGATGCGAAGAATCAAGATATCAAGGATTTGTACACCAAGCCGCCGATGGTCCAGATAATTCCTGACTCAGAAGGCATGATTCCTTTTTCTTCGATTCAAGAAGAGAACCCGGTGCTGGACAACTTTATCAGCTCCAAGTATGTGGAGGAAATCAACAACGAGTTTGGGAGCATGCAAGACAGTTCGGAAGAGAAGGGGGAATCTGATCCAGAAAGGTTTAGTTTGATTAGTGATGATTGGGAGATTGAGACTAAGCAGACGAAGAATAATCAGGTTGGTTCTGGCAAAACTGATAAGACTACCAAGATGATGAAGAGTACTGAGCCAGAAGCTGTTACTGTGCCTGCTACTAGGTCTACGGTTAATGTTCTTACTTCAGATCAATGGAGGTACTATGGTCCTCCTGCTACGCCGAAAACTACCACTTCTACAACTACAACAACTACGACGACAACTACTCAGAAACCAACTACAACTACTCGAAGACCAACTACATCAACTACAACGACTACACAAAGACCAACAACTACAACAACAACAACCACAAAGTCTCCATTAATTGGATTCTCGAAAGAATCCCACAGAAATTGGGTGCCATTCCTTCCAACCGCAATGTCATCAAGCCTAACGGAAGAAGCTTTCTCAATTCCTCCTTTCAAGAAGCTGCCGACCACCACGACAATCCAACCTGAGATTATCACCTTCGATATGATGGAGATGATGAAGGATGAACCGCAGCCATCACTATTTGTCACGCCAATGTCATCCCACTCTGATGAAAAGCTAATCAATTCAACATCACTAAAAGACTCCAAGATTGAAATTCCGATGAGAAACGAAGTGATGACTCTGCTAAAATCGATTGGACTTAGCGGGAGCGAGACTAAGTTAAATGCCAATCCTTCAGCAGCCCAGGGGATCTACGCGACCAATTTCGAAATTCCAGAGTCTGATAGCATTGGCCAGATGTCCGCGATGGGGGTCGACTCCCCGACGATTGCCAGCCAGAATACCTTCGAGCAGACTCCCAAGGACGTTCGGCAAGGGTTCAACAACTTGGCGCCAGATGTTCAGTGGCTGTTCCAGAGATTTGGCATGGCTGCTATGAAAGATTTGGACTATCAGAAACAAACTACTACTTCTACGACTACCAGAGCTCCAGTTCCAGTTCGCTGGAATAACTTCAAGCCTCTTCCGAATTCCGAGGTCAAGGACGAGTCTATGAGGGAGTTCCTTGCTAAATTTGGCTTGGGGACCGACAGAGGCCGCAAGTCTATGAAAGATCAGCGAGTAGCAGAAAAAGATGATCAGTCAGTGATAGAAGCCGTTCCTGAGAACATGAGGGGTATTCTGGCCAACATAGGACTCATAGAACGGAAAAGTCTGCCTGGGAAAGCTAAGCCAACTCCCAGGGTTGATTCCGAGCCTAAATTGCACGTCTTCAAGCCCCATGAGATTCAACTCAGTGATCAGCGGCAGCGGATCAAGATTAATCAGCTTCTAGACACTGTTAGGCTTGCTCAGGAAGGCAAGGCTCAGGTTTCTGATGTTCGCCAAGCTGCTAGCGAGCTTCTGGAGACGGCTAAGACTCTCAAGGAAGGCCCTGACCCGCTGAATCTCCAAGAATTGATGCAGATGTACAACAACGAGGCTAGAAATGAGGTCAAGCGGCAAAACAATTCTTCAATGTCTGATGGTAAGTTGTTTTTTAATTCGGGTTATATGCGTAACCCTTTGAACATTCTTTAGATAAGTAGCTTTTGACCGTTGGACGTTTCTCAATCAGTAACTGGTTCTGTCCTTACTTTTTTTAGTTTTCTAGTCGTTATATGTATTAATAAACATAAATGTATGCCTCGTTGCATCATCCAGAACTTTCATGTTTTTTTAACATGTGCTACTGCTACAATATTGCAGAAATTCAATATATTCGGTTTAGTACGCCTTGTCAAGCGAATTGCATGTCTGAGAATTGCATGACAAGTGTCGGGAGCTGACAAGTTAAATAATTGTTAGAATGAGGAAATAACGGTGATAATATTACTGATGATATGAATTTGCTGCATGCTATTTACTGAATTCGTTAAATAAAAGTTGTTTTTCTGATGCGTGAAAGTCGTTTGACTACTTTTTAAAGTACAATTGTTAATAGGAACTCCGGATGCCGAGGAGGATTCTACTACGTCAATTACGACAGCTTCTCCCACTCTGGCTACTTCCAGCGAAGCGACAGGTACGGAAATGCCTAAAGACGCTGAGTTACCAGCAGACAGTGTGGGGGTTCCCAGCGATTCTAGCAGCAAGACCACGGAGAGCGCTAATATCGATGACCTAGCGGACTCTTTCGGAGGAACCACCAGTGAGCCTGATCCTGTTTTACCAACGCCCAAGAAAACCGGGCTCTACTTTCTCGTAGATTGGAATTCCTTCTTGGAAGTCGGTGAGGATGATAAGGACAGTAAGGTCAATCTGAGGTTCGCTCCCAAGGCTGGAGATAGGACGCAGTTTATTCCTGTTGTTATTCCGTAGTTTTTGTAATTTTGTTGGTAGTTTTAAGCGTGTGAATAGTATTTATATTTTATTTTTGTTCAAAGATTTAATTTTGTAGTTTTATATTAGGTTTATGTTGTACTTTATGCCATTGAAAATAAATTTTTTATTATTATTATTTATAATTTGTCATCTATATGTTAATACCTATTACATATTAATGCAAGAATTTTTTTTTAATAAAAAGCCTATTAAATATTAATAAATTCTTCAATCATATTTAATACAAAAATTTATTTTTTATTTTAGTAGTATAAATATGACTTTTCCCGACTCTAAATAATCAAATAGGACTTAAAAATTGTTTTTAATTAAGAAACATAATTGATTTTCACTAAAAAAGCATCAAGAAATTTCAATCCCAAAAAAATATTTTTTTTTCGTTTCCTCTATTTTATACGTAATTTCATTTTTATTCATTAATTCATCATTTAGGTAATGAAATAAATATTTAAAAAATGATATTTTATCAGATAAATTCCTATAATATCATTTGATGTTCAAAAAGTCATTATCAATTTTATCAATTCCTATAATAAATTTATCGACAGCCGATATAACTTGACATTTATAACATCAATCCTTACTTCTTATGATAATAATAGACCTCTACTCACCCCAAAACTTCGTAACAAGATCAATCCCTCCAAAAATACCTCCTAAATTTTTTTATCCAAATGTAAAGCAATAATGTTTCTTAAATACTGATGGATTAGAGGGAGCTTTCGAGTCAAATAAAATTTTTTATCTATCTATCAATCTATTTCCCAACAAAACAACATTTTCCTTCATCTCCACTATCACCCTCCTAGATGACAATCCCGACCCTCAAAAGCCCACTCAGAATCTGAATTGTCAAGCCAAAGTGGATGAACTCCATGGCTCTGACATCCCAGCCTCTGTTCGATAAATCGAAACGTTTGCGTACTGCGAACGCGTCGCCTTAACGACGCAGCCCGTCAGGCCGACGGACAGGCGCAGACGTACTCTCGTTCTCTACTCTGACTCCGTTTGCCTAGTTTCTGTCACGGTTTTCCCAATACAAGTCCATGTGTCCAAGTTGCGCTTACCTCTCAAAGTATCTCCAAGCTTTAATTCTCAATAATTAAATCCAATCATCTCCCCCAAAAAGATTATCAACCCCTTGATTAATCATCAGCCGAGTTCTAGTGATCAGGATGATTGTCACCTTTGTTGTCTTCGGGAATCCAAAGCCTTCTGTTAAGAACATGTGCCCTTTCGGCGTCTATTGATCCGCTTGCTCCAAAGCTAGGTGAGTTTTTTCCTATTTCTAATTAATTCCACTTTCTCATTTTAATTAATTAACATTAACAGCGCAATTGCATAATTCTGGACGATTATTATAATTAAAGTCAAGCTAGTTTGGCGGAGTATTGATCGTGTTTGGGTTTTGTCTGGCGAGTCTCTGACTTTTGAACCCTTCTTGTAGCACAACAATGAGACGCGTCAGCATTGTCACCTTTTTTGACTAAAAAATAGCCAATGTAATGTGCCACGTGCTAGGTTGGAAGCTTTAGACAGTAGTGCATATACCTTGAAATAGCTCAATGCAGTGTTTGAAGAGAGCGTCTATCTTTCCGCCTTTCTCCAACATGACTTGGACATTACATTACACTAGATCAAGACTTGCTCACTGATTAACGATACTCTATATTGAATCGTTTCCCCATTAACGACCGCACCTGCATCGATATCGATATCATGTCCAGGGGAGAGATAATTTAAATCCAGCCGATGATTAATGAATTAATGGAGATTGTTGGTAGGCAATTCAAGTCTTAATTAACTACGGATCGTCTTACCGAATCTACCTTATTGTAGGCTTTCCGCTAGACACTTTTACAAGCAATTATTGTATATGCTAATTGAATTGATTAAGCTAGGCAAGCTAATTCGCTTTGTGGGGGTTAGTTGTTTTGTTTTGTTGGTTGTTTCGGAGGTAATTGGGTTGATTAACTAGCGATGGATTGTAAATTGTGGAAGATATTAATAGGAAGGAGGTCGGAAATTTTGGTTATTAATTATTTATGTCAAGGGTTTTGAATTGTAACGTGCGTGATGATAAGGTTAGGGTGGTTGTTTGTTCATAGACGTCAGTTAAAAGACGGGGTGGAAGTTGGACAATTATATTTTGGGGAGTTTAGATTTATTTTGTAAATTAATAATTAATTTTTTAATTGATTTTTTGAAGGTTTAAAAGAATTAATTAATTCAATTTTAATTTTAAAATTTACTTTCGTTTTTATGAATGAAATTTATTGATAAAATATTTATGAAATATCGACTTTATAAATTAAATTTGTAATTCTATTTTTGAACGGATAAGAATAGATCAATTGGATTAACTTCTTAATAAAGCGTAAGTCATTATTCTTCATTGACTTTACTAAAATAAGTTTATCGAGCGGCTGAATAATTTAATTTCGATAATATTAATAAATTAAAGTTAATATTTTGATAAAATAGTATTGTGATTTTCGCTAAAGGAAAATGACCTTTATTAATAATGTAATAACAAGGAGATAATGATTCAAGTGCAAATCCTCGTAAATATATATGACAAAACACACAGCACGCGAGCAGAAGTAAGTTGCAAAATAACTTGGCATTTTAAAATGTCAGTACCTTCCTACATGGATTCCGATACTTCTATTCGTACTTCACTTATATATTTTCCTTGTATATATATATATCTAGTATTTTATATCACCTATTGTCAATTGTAAATTGTTAATTCATTGACAATCAATGAGGAAGTGTTATAATATGTCTTTAGACAGATTATTTTTACTTTAAACGTTCCACAATTATTAAATCATTTATTATTATTATTTTAAAATTCTAATTTTAATAATAATAATGATAATAATAACTTGTTTTTAAAAATTAAAATAAAAAATTTTAGAGAAAAAAATATATAGATAAAATAAAGTTGATAAAAAATGAAATCCTCTATTATTATATTATTATCATTAAGCTTGTAGATAATTAAACTACAAACGTGACGCTGATTAATTTATTACAAATCAAAATCAGATAAGTAAACATATTTCATAGTAGATAATTAAGCCGTAAGCGATAAGCATATTTCCAATTAATAAAACTCCCGAGCAATTAATTAATTAAATCCATAATTCAAAATAATACTGGATATATTATATATATATATGTGTGTAGAATAATATAATTTTACAAAAGTGCACATGGGTATGGTGCAGTGAGATTCAGTCTCGAAAATAGTCTCGGTATTTACCCGTGAAACGAAGAAACTCCGACCTCGAGTTAGATCTTCGTTATTTTTCAACTCTATTTATTTTTCTCGGGATTTTTACTCCGAGCGTAAAAGTGAGACACCAAGCTACGGTAGGGCGTAAGATTGAGTGAGATTGAATTTTTAAGCGACATGACTCTGAGCTGGAGGGTGACAACACGAGCAGAGCCGTGTTTATTACGCCGATAAACTACTCGAGTATTAATAGATGTAAATAGATAGACCAGAGGCTAGGAGAGGATAGGATAGGAGAGGCTTGAGGTTGAAGATGCTCTACACTGTGTCAATTGGTACAAAGAACCCGATACTGAAATCGATACTGAGACCAAGACCGCGAGACCGAGGTCGGCTCTACGAGCTTCATACATCTCTACGTCTCGGTAGAGTAACGACCTTAGGTATTAACATGTGTGCAGCTGTCAGCTGCTTGTTTGGTTTGCTCTTCAAGGGGACTAGTCTATTATATCTACATCTATAAGTGTATTCTTATTCATATTCATATAAATATGTTGGAAGAAGAGTCTTCACATGGAAGCTTACTAGGTCCTGCCAGACCATGTGTAACAATCTACACTCTAGTCTATGGCAGAAGTCCCGAATCTTGGAACTGGTTTTCTTGGTGGTCAAACTTGGACCTTGACCATCGCACTAATTTCAGCCCGAGGACAAATAGTTACAATTAGTTACAACTTTCGTGGAGTTTGTAATGTTGGTCTGTAAGCAGTGACCTTACTTTTGGTAATTTTGAGAGAAATGATACATAATATTGAGCCAAATAACATTTACTTTATTTTTTTGGAGATAATTGATTGAGCTCAAGTGATCAACTTTAGTGTTTTTTTTTAAGAATTGTGCATTATGTTGATCAATATTTGGTGATTTTTTTAAACATCATGCATAATTTGAGCATAATTAGGTAACGTTTTTAGATTTTATCAATATTTGTGCATGATTTTGAGGTCAAAAGAATAACATGTTCTATTTTTATCAAAAATTATGCCATACAAAGACAGTTATTCTATATGGTCAATTCAAATTTAAATTGATGCATAATTTTGAGCTTGAATGAAGTACATTTGATTACTTTATCAAAATTTATGCATGAAATTAGTTCAAATGATCAAAATTTGAAGATATTATCAAAATCCATGCATAATTTGAACATAATTAGTCAAAAATTATGGTTGTTGATAAAATTTGTGCATGATTTGGAGCTCAAATGAATAACATGTTCTGTTTTTATCAAAATTTATGCTTAATTTAAGCTGAAATGATCAAAATTTAGTATTTATATCAATAATCATGTATCATATAAAGACAATTAATCTAAATGATCAATTCAAATTTCAATTGATGCATGATATTGAGCTCAAATAGATTACATTTGATATTTCTATGAAAATTCATGCATAATTTGAGCTTAAATGATCAAAATTTAGTGTTTTTATTAAAAATTATGCATAGTTTGAGTTCATGTAGTAAAAATTTGATCATTTTATCAAATTTTATGCATAATTTGAACTCAAATGATCAAAAATTACTGTTTTTATAAAAAATTACTCATGGTTAGAGCTCAAATGTTCAATAATTGTTAATTGTTTCAAAAATCATGCATTTTTTGAACTCAAATGACTGATAGCGTTTGTATTAGCATCATTTTTTGAGCACAATTACTTTTTATAATAAT